ACAGACACCATGCTGCCTTTTTTTGCTTCTGAGCTGAACAGGAATCAAGTGGGATATTAAGAAAGAAATAAATCTGCCAATCCGTTAATGTAAAAAGCATATTTTCTCCATTGACACCATCCTTGAAAAAAACAAAACTGTTTCCTAGGCAAAAAAAATGACAAGAAATGAAAGTAAAAGAAATGAAAAGAAAAAAATAAAATAAATGAAATAAAATAAAATAAAAAAATAAAATAAAATATTCATGTGTTTCCTCTCCTGGGCTTTTTTTGGATAAACTGCTGTAATGATGCATATAGATTTTGGTTTTAAAAAATAGTTTCAATTTAATGCCCTGAAATTCTGCAAAAGCCTAGAATTTCTCTACTGCTCTTTTTTAAACTCTTAAACATGCTCACGTTCTCATTTCTTTTTGCTTATGAGAAGGCCACACAGTAATATATATCCCTGCTGAATAGAAATATCTATAGTCTAATGTTAGCATTCAATCTTGTACCTCTAGACTTTGTGACAATAATTTGTTTTTTATATTTTAATTGTTCCATACTTATTACTAATTGCTTAATAGTTTAATAACTGAAATATATAGTGACTAATTAACAGGAGGGTCTTGATCTCTCACTGGCATAAAAAAGAAGCACACACTTCCAAGCTGCAGATATAGGTATTATTTTGAAGGTAAACTCCAGTTCAACTCTGATGTACCTCAGGAGTCACTGTCATGAACTGATTTTGGTGCATGTGGATCAGAATGTAGCCTGATTTCTCTTAAGGAGTTTGGGAGTCCAAACTAATGCTCCTCAAACATACCTAAAAGCCTGTCACATCCAGATATGCCTCTTAATCTTATTTTGTAGCAAATTAATGCACATGCCTTCACTAGAGTCATTCCTGTCTTACATCAGAGTTAAAGGGGTCAGGCTGGTGGTTTGTGAGGAACAGTGGCAGTCCTGAGCACTGCATTGTGTATTCTGTGTGAGTTCAGGACAATACAGTCTGGATTGTTCTTTGGAGCTGCAGTGAAGTCTCTGAACTCTATTTTACTATTGAGTTGGAGGAAAAACAGAGGAAAGGAGGCCCCCAGCATATGAAGTCTCTCCCCCAGTATAAGAAGGATGTGGACCTGTTGGAACAAATCCAGAGGAGGCCACTAAGATCCTCCAAGGGCTGGAGCACCTCTGCTATGGAGACAGGCTGATGAGGGCTGGAACTGTTCAGCCGGGAGATTACGCCAGGGAGACCTTAGAGCAGCTTCCAGTACCTAAAGGGGCCAGCAAGCAAGCTGGAGAGAGGCTTTTGACAAGGGCAGGCATCCCCCCTTTTGACAAGTGGGAATGGCTTTAAACTGACAGAGGGGAGATTTACATTAGATACTAGAAACAAGTTCTTGACTGTGAGGGTGGTGAGGTCCTGGCTGCCCAGGTTGCCCAGGGAAGCTGTGGCTGCCTCATCCCTGGCAGTGTTCAAGGCCAGGTTAGATGGGGCTTGAAGCAACCTGGTCTAGTGGAAGGAGTCTCTGCCCATGGCAGGGGGTTAGAACTGGATGAGCTTTAAGGTTCCTTCCAACCTAAACCGTTCTATGATTCATTCTATGATTAGCTATTGGGACAAATTCCAGCACTATGGCAGTTAAAAGACACCCTGATCTGAATGCCATTATTCACTTGATTGTTCATATATCCCCCGAGTGAAAAGCCCTGATTTAATCAATGACTCCTCTATTCTCTTGAAATATGAGGCCAATGCAGCTGGGCTGGCAGCTCTGCACTGCCTGCATCACTAGTATTGCCATGCCTGTCATAGCAGGTATATTCAGCACATTCATTTAATTTCTCAAACACCCTTGACAGCATAATGATATGTCTGGATGTTCAGTGATGAAATAATTGCACGTAGGCTGCCTTGGGGCACTGTTGCTGGCATGCTTATGTAGTCAACATTATTTTGAAGGAGCCCCTCAGTTTAGAACACATCCTATCTTCAGGCTCCAGTGAAGAACTGCCTGATGGCAAATCTCATGGGCTGCAGAAGGCCCTGTGGCATGGGTGAATAACCATTGGATTTTTTTCCTGTCATGTTTCTAAAAGTCAAGCCCCTTCTTGCTGCCTTTGGCCTATGGTTGATGCTGGCACAGGTTAGCATAGGGCTGAAACTGAAGAGAAGCTGTAAATACAAAGCAGAAGGTCATCCTGAAAATGTTATAAGCACAGAGAGACAAAAAGGAAGGTGAAGAACAGAAAGAAAATGCACCGTGTGTCCCACTGCTCAGGGCTCACAGACATGGACCTTCTACCCCAGCAAGGCTGCCTAAAAAAAATGGGTTTCCCTCACATCTCACAAAGGAGGTTGCTGGCAATGCTGCATCACTTATGCTCAACAGGTCTGTGCTCAGACTCTTCCTCTGGTTGTCTGGTACCTGGGATCCAAGTTCACACCTTAGGCACCTCACTGGATGCATTAACAAGATTGGGCAGTGCTCCTGTGCAGCTCATCAATTTTGTTGGGCATAAATAGCTACCATGATAGATAAAGAGTGCAGATGACTTTGCAGCCTGATCAATCAAATCTCTCACAGACTCTCACTGCTTCCAAAATCTGAACCAGTGAGAGGAAGCATTTTACATGTACAGAACCACTCAGGAGCTTCCTTGCAGCTAGCCATTCACCCAGTGAAACGTAGCACTATGTCAAATCCTTGCTTTGAACCAGGCACAAAACAATCCCCGGCATCTTCTGTGTGAGTCCTAATCGAGGTCTGAAAGCACGCACCAGAGCAGCACTAGCACCAAACACAGAGAGGGTCCTTGCATCTGAGAACCTCATGAAGATTTCAATGGGTACCTTGTTCCTGGGGTGTCAGGGCATAAGTGTTTCAATGCAAGCAACATGGGGAAACTTTAAGCATTCTCTTGGTTCCTCTGGAATCAGAGATCTGCAAAGAGAGGATTTTGATGATCTTATGGTACATCCATACTGGATTCTAACTGCTGATACAGTTTCAGTGTAACATAGCCATAACCAAGATGGCTTGCATCTGACTAGCCTGGGGTGTCATCAGCTCTTTAATTCCAGGACCATTGAGATCATTATGACTATCTTCAGAGTATCTACTGATCCTTTTAGGTTTTGAGGGCTGGGTAGCCACAGACACACTGTGACAGAATCTGATCTAGCTCACTGAAAACTCCTGACTGCTGTGTTTACCCTTCACAGCAGTTGTATTGGAGTATCTCATGACCCTTCCTGACTTCAGACCTCTATGCAATTCTCAGTACCACATGTGGAGAAATACTTTGGAAGCATCGAACTCAGATGGTAACAGGTACAGCTCTAGGGAGGATTATGGTATGGAATAACTGCCCCACCAGAACTGAGGAAGGACCTGGATGTCCAAGTCTGAAACATTCCTCCTGGGCTGTGATTTGTTGGCAGTGAATCACAGATGATTAAGGCAAGCAAAACAAACCTCAAACCCACCAAGGTTAAGATGCTTCCCATCAGTGAACTACATTTCACTATGAAGAAAAAGAATTTCAGGTGCTGTTAGCACTTGGTAAATGAGTTGAGACCTCTTAACCCTGAAAGAGGAATGTACATGTACATGCATTGGAGACCCAGATTCTCCTTTGCAAGGACATATTACAGTAGGATGACAGCCCAATTAATAAGTATACGGAAGAGCTGGGCAGGGATTTCCCACCCTCAGTGTAAAACTGGTGCAAGCCTCTTTGATGCAGTTGGGTGGGACACAAACACGGGCATCCACATCTGTGTCGTCTATCTTCTGACTGGGTTTGGGACTGTGGGGATTGTCTCAAATGCAATGCCTGGGAGTGCAAGGGGCATCTGATGCCCTGTAAGCTACCAGCCTGGCATATTGCTTTGACACCTCTCCTTTGCCCCTCCACCAAGAAAAGAAAAATTAAAAAATTACTGTTCCCTTGGTTTTAACAGGATCTATGTGCATTCTTCAAATAGGGATTGCCCCTACAGAGGCATTAATAGGCCTCTATAAATGAGGCAAAATACACATGCACGTCTTAAAGATCTAACAATGCCTTTATCACAGGAAGAAAGCTCCCCTCAAAAGGCAAAGAAGAAATCAATTTAATAGCTGCTTCACTCCTTCCTGACTCCCGGAGTGCCAGTTATATGCTGAGACAAACTTGCTCCGATGAAAGCAATTTTGTTTGCTGCTGTGAAGCACATCTGGAGAGTGGCAGGTCTTATTCAATTAAGGATTACAGGGTTCTACATCTCCCTTCCCTGGCAGTGTGTGCTAAGTAAGTGCAAACGAATTACAGACCAATTGTTTTCCCCGATCCCTTGTGACCCTGGGTAAGCTAATGCACCAAGATCTATGGGTGAACTTCAAAAGAATGAAAAACGCAGCCATGCTCTCCTTTTGGCATCTGTACCTGGATTTTATACATGCAAATTGAGTTACCTATTCATTGAAAACAACCAAACAAAACACAATGTCATGAATGTAGTGCAGAGAAGGGCATTCATGCTGCTCCTTCTCAGCGACCTGCTTTTTCCAGAGGGCACCCACGGGTGCTTAGAGAGCTTTTGCTAAGAAGGATGGTGGGCGATTAGTGAACACACACTGCAGCACTGTGGCATTCTCCCAGGGTCTTTCCTGGTGCTGCAGCTTAATCTTCACACATGTACAATGCAGAGGCAAGTGCTGTGCACGGGCCTCTCCCCTTCCTGCTCATGTTCCTCCCATCCCTTCTCCTCATGTCCCTGACTCTGTCTCTGGTACCTTATCGCCACTTCTTATGAATAGAACCTTTGGCACATTCATATGTTTGGCTCCCCCCCCCCCCCTCCTTGCCTCTTCTTGCCTCCTTCTTTCCTCTACTGGCTCATTTTTTAAAAAGTGCAATTTATCTGTTTCAGAGATGCCAGTTCTGGTAAAGCCACCAAGGACTCAGTCTCTCCCCTCCCTTACCACCCGTACTTCATTGTTTATGACACTTCAGGATCTCCCAGGCTCTCCTCAAGTGACTGGGACCTTTACTTGTAGTTATCAACCCCTGAGGGCTTGAAACTTAAAGAGTGAAAGGTCTGAAAAGAGAGAGAGGAAAAGTATCTCTCTCCCTCTTGGCTTGTCTGATCATGTTCTGGATGCCAGTGGCTCTTCCAGCTTTGTGTCCTCTGTTGGCTCATGCGGAGCATGTCAATTCACAAGGATTTGTCATTGTATCACTGATTCCTGGGGGATTCTTCTGTCTTTCAGTTTGTCACTTGGATGCTCAGTTCTTGGAGAGGCTCTCCCCATCACACCAGAGAGAATTCGGCCTGGAAGCCAGAGCACCGGCGTGTCTTTGGTGAGCACTTGGTTAGCATGGAGATCTGGGTGCTGAAGTTGGTACCATTGCTGCCTAGGGAAGGGTGGTGATACTTCATGTCTGAACCCAGGAACCGCTCCAGATGCCACCTCCGCCACTTTCGCTTGAGCTCAGCTTGGACCTAGGTGATGGGAAGACAATAAAGTCAGCAGAGTGGAGCATTTTGTATTGCTCTGGCATGACTGTGTGAGCAGCCATGAGCAACCCATCTACCGAGGGGCCAAGAATTATTTTATAAAGGTCACTAAACTCAACCTGGTCAGAACTTTCAGACACATAGAAGAGAGGTGACACTCCAGCAGCATCTGGAATCAGAAATCCGAGCTTCAGCAGAAAGGTGAGCACAGGGAATTTCATGTCTGATCCAGTGAAGGTGCCAGACTACTTAACTTTAATGGCAACATACACTATACTTTGTGAATACAATTCCTTTTTTTTTTTTATTGCCCTGTTTTTGTTCAAATACAAATGATTTAGTTACAGATTGTTTGTAAAGCTGTCCATTCAACTGTCCTTTTTTGATATAAGTTACTTGTTCCTGTTCAGGGAGTTTACAGATGTCATCTGTTTGACACTGTTCAGATTCAAATCCTGAACAAATCTGACCACTATCCCTGTCCCCTCTTGCAGCCTTCTAGTTCAAACTTATAGATAACAGTCTGAATCAGACAAACCAGCTGTGTATGAGGGTCTGTGGGATCAGCAAGCACAGGAACAGTACAATACCAGGATGCAAACCCCAGAACTGGAAATGTGGGAAAGGCAAGATCAATGCCTGTGATGTAGAAACATGTTTACCTGGCACTTGTCTGTGCCTAACAAGTCACGTCAATGCCTGTATTGGTTTTGGGTCATTCATAAGTTTGTGTGGTACTGCCCTGCTCTGCTCAGGGTTACTGGCAATGGTCTCTGCTGGAGCTGGGCTCTCTGCCTGCATGCCACTGTGCAATATGCACATGGTATCAGTATGTCTGAAAGCAGCACCAGAGCTGTAAGAGAGCGCTTTGTGATTCTGGACACCCTTCTTCTCCCTAGGAAGCTGGAGCACAAACCCAGATCACAGCTTCTTATTTCTTGCCCTTGGTCAGTTTATTGAGCTGAAAGTGCTCCAGCTCACAGCAGCTCCAAGTTTTTGGCTGCTCACACCTACTGGGTAGCCTTAGGTATGAGTTTAATCAGTCTCTGCTGAATTTCTTATGGACAGATGGAGCATGGTACAAAAATATCACTGCACTAATGAGCCTCTACCTTGGCAGTGGGCCTGATTCTGTGTAGGATTCTTTGAGGTACTGAACATAAATACAGCTTAAAAGATGGCTTTTAGCCTTCCCTGCTGAAGTGGTCCTTTTGAATCAGGGTTTATGCATAGTCATATGGGAGTTCTGCTTATGCTATCCCATGAGTAAAGGACAGACTCAGGAGCAGCAACCCTACTGTGCACACAAGATTCTTGATATGTTTATTAATTGTGCTGGCAACTGACAGGCAAATGGCTGAGTTGTTTTTTTCTGGAGGCAGTGATTTGACTTGGATGCTTCCTCCCCAGTATGGTAACATCAGGAATGGCACACTTCTTAATCCGCTCTCCACTATCATTCAATTTGTCTTACCTGCAAACATAATCAAACAACACTGTTGATCTTACCTCCCCGTTGAGAAAACAGTACAGAACAGCCACCACAAATCCCTAGGGAAAAGGAGAGAACAGCCTTTTAGCACCTCTCAAACTCACTGCAGCCTTGGAAAAAGGGCACATTGCTGGGGGACTGCTAAGACTCCCATTAGAAAACACTTGGTTACACTACATTGACTAAGGTACCTTGCAACAGATGTATGTATGGATGCCAGTTCAAAGATTGCTCCAGACTGGTATTTAAAGCCATCCACAGTCAGCTCAGCTCAAAGACGGCACTTGGTCATTCAAACTGAGGCAAAAGGATGGAATACTAGACCTAGCTTTCCTGCTTGGTCTTGTCAGCTGAAATTCAGGAGATCTAAACATGCTCACTACTACATCATCAAGGTCAGAATGATCTTTGACATGATATAGTGCTAAAATTCCTTTTCATCTCCCTTGCAGTAACACTTCATTTTTAAGAATCGCAGATCTCCCTGAAAAAAAATAAACATCTCTAGTCCTTATGGTTGTCAACACTAAAGACAAGGAGTGAGTGTAGATCCACTTGTCTCTCACAGGAAAGATGCTGGAGGTGAAGTGATGATGATGTAGATGGGGACGTTAACTCATTCACTAGTGCAAAAAGCATGTCACTGACACATGTATGGTACACAGTGACAGACACATCCTGCTGCGGGCTGTGAGAGAGCAAAGTGGTTATTGCTGATTAACAGATGAATGCAATGGGACAAAATACATAAAGAAGTGCTTCTTTTCATGGAACAACAGGTTAACAGCACAGCCCTGGAACTGACTGAAGTGAAGCATGTAGGGGGCTCTAAGAAGCAAACTTCATCAAGGATTTCTAGAGATTAATGTGGAAGACAGCACCATTGCCCATCCTCACAGGGATTCCTATGCCAATGAACTGGAATCCTGCTTAAGCAGAATCTACAGGCTGGACTTGGCTTCTTAACAGAGGATAAATTTCACTCAAGTCAATTGGCTGAAGACAGGCTAAGCTCCTGTAAATGGCCAGAAAGACACTCCTCCCAAAGGTGAATTATCTCATCTCACACCACGTCAGTAATAAATAAACTGAACGGAGGTGCTAATTTTTTCCCTTAAGTACAAAAATACCCCAGGTGACTAACTTCTAGAGGTACATTTTCTTTTCAGGTGCTTAAAATGAGGACACAAAATCTCCTTCTGGAATTCCAGAAGGCAAACTATAAAATTATCTTCCATCCTGGCCAAGCAAAAGTATAAGAGCACTGCACGTGTCCAGAAAAAACCCATCTCACACATTTACTTATTCCCTTGTCAATTTTGTTACATTCCTCTCTGCCAACAGACCTGGTGGCCCAAAGGGTGGCTTACCTGGAATGACCCAACCACGAGCTCAAACACCAGCTTAACTTCTGCTTTGAAATTGTCAGGGAAGAAAGCAAACATGATGTAGTGAATGCCAAAGAGAGGGATCAGCAGCAAGGTGGACTTGGCCAGCCTCCTGTTGGAAAGACAAACATGAATCATAGGGAGAGAGGGAAGAGGAGCTAAAGGGCTGATGAGAAATCCTGCAGCTGAGCCCTATGCAACCCTGAAACTTTAATTTGCTCCAGTACATATTTACTGATTACCTGGATCTTGATGGTGTAGCCTGTATCATGCATGTTAAGTGCCTTTGTATGCCCTTAGGAGATGTGATATGCGCCACTTATGCTGAGGTCCTGGGAACATCCAGCCTTTTAACAGCAGTCTCAATGAGGCAGCACAGGAGGCTGTCTTTGCCCAGAAGGTAGAAGTGTCTGGGCTACAATGATATGGAGAGTACTGGGACAGCTCCTCACAGCCTAATCTCCCCAGGATCCTTCTGACAACCTGGGCTGGGATCCAGTGACACATGGAGGTGGACCCTCAGCTGGCCACAGTCACTGTATGGCAGTTCAGACTAAGCAAGGATCATGCTGGGAGCATTTCTGTGGGCTTGCTTTCCTCCTCATTCACAGTTCTCATATAAATATATATGTGCCTCCACGTAAGGCAGAGTGAGTAGCCCTACTTTATTTCCCCTTGGCCCACAGACTGAAGATGGCTGGTGATTTCACATATGGTGACAACATAAAATGTGACATCTTTATTCCTAGTAACTACAATGGAGGTATTTCTTTATCCCTTCTCTCTTCTTCCCCTCCCACCAGAGATCTTTATTCATCTCTACAGACTAAATCACCAGCTAGCACTGTCTTTGTTTGCTTGGGATTTCTGAAAATTACAGCTTCTGGGAGAGAAATGGTATGTTTAGCTCAGAATAATAACATGCTATTGCACAATGAATGTCTCCAAAGGAGGGGGCTGAGCAGTATTAGTTCTTAATGGTAGCAGGCTAGGTAATCAGAAGTCTAATTAGGAAGAAGATATTATAATTTATTAAATATAATCATTATTAAAATATAGCTGATGGAATAAAATAAATCAAGGGCCTAAGGAAGTTTATAGGGTTTTGGCTCCCTTGGTCACCCACATCCTCCCGCATCCTCCTGTCCCAGAGGCTTCTGGAGGAATTGAAGCTACAGCTGGGATGTTTGAAATACTTGTTCTTCCATCTGCAAACCCTTCACCTCCAAAGTCTCATCAGGCTCAGTCCCATCAGACCATCTTCACTTATTTGCCATCTGCATAAGCCCACTGGGAAGGCTGATGTGCCAGCTTTATGCAGATGACGATCATCACTGTATCTCCCAGCAGACCTTTTCAATTTTCCCTAGGCCTGGACCAAAGACAGCTTGACATTTAAGGCTGTTGTCAGAGGCTGTGGTTGCCCAGGGGAAGGCAGCTGGGTGCATCTAATTCCAGACAAAATGACTGCCTGTAGGTAGCCGAGGAACTTTCTAGGAATTTGCCTTTCCCACATCATTCTTCACTGGCAGGTACATCCCTGCTCCTAGTGAGTAGATCTAGCAACTGAATCCTCTCAGATGTGTTGCTCTGCCAGAGGATTGTCACTGGTGACTGTCAGGGTACATGATCCTCACTCCTAGAAGCAGCTCTGATCACTGTGATACATGCTAGTATGACCCAGCCCTAATTCCCTCAGCTCCCAACATACAAGAAGGCAACTCATTTTCTAAGCAGATAACAGTTCAGTGAATGCCAGCACTGGCTTTGCAGAGATCTCTCCTCTCTCCCTAATCTTTCAGGAACAGTAAACCTAGAGGATATTGATGTGATGCTATCCCAGTGTACCATATTCATAGGTACACTGTTTGCAAGCTCCAATGGATGAGAAAATGTCATTTTATCATTGCAGATAACACTGGGGCCTGGATTGTGGCAATTAAAAGGTCATAAATGCCAAACCTTAGGAGCCCCCTCCTCTAGTTTGCACAACACCCCAGAACAGTTCCCAGCACTGTGCTTCCCAAAAATATGATGTTTTATATTTCAGTTTGGCTTCAAGGCAAGCTCCCTAAGGTCCTGTGATATTTAAAAGACTCCCCCCCTAAAATGCTGCAATGAGGAGGATCATCATCTTCAGTCATGGTGTAATTTCTTCCAGAGAGCTAAAGCCTGGCTGTACATGAGGCAGAACTTGCTTGGGAGATTGTCCAAAGCTGGTTACAACTACCCGCTGGTAGCCAAAAACCTCCTTACTTGCACACCCAGCACAGTGCACACTTCTTAGATCCACCCTCTCTGACATGGTGACAGTTAATTTAGTGAAAACACATATCCACTAGTCTGCACTGAGTCTACTCCGCTCCTTGGGGAGGATAAGAATGAACCGATATTTAGTCATCATCCTTGAACACATCACAGAAAAGTTACCCAGAAAACTTTGATGGTAATATTGATCTATGAACATGTACAGAATAGAAACAGATTAATTTAGCTCAAGATTTCTGTCACAGAAAACAACTTCTATTTGCCTGAAATATTGCTGTCCCATTCTTGCACACCTGTCATTTTCAGAAAAATGATCTGGGAGACTTGTTTTCACAGTTTTCCAATGCATTAAAGCCCAGTTCACTATCCGTCTGTAGCATTAATGAGTGAGTCAGCAATGCACCTGAATTTCCAGCCTGCAGCTAAATTGAAACTGGTTGGAATTGAACAATACCGTCAACATGTCAACTCATCATATTTTTATAAAATAAACCACATAAAATAAACAAGAGAAGGAGGGAGAAATGCAAATGAGAGATCCCTGATGTTGTTAGTTTAAGACATATTTATCTCAGATTTGGCAGGAGGAACACACACATATCGTTAGCGTCATGTATGAGGGTACAAGTCTCCCGTAGGCCCTGGTTCCTATGTGTCAGGTCCAGGCAAGTATTTAAAACGTTCTAAAGCATCTTGTATAGCTTGGACACCTATAAGCGAGCAACTTATTCCTGTCCTAATGGAACTTGGATGGTTTTTTTTCCAGGTGGAAACGGAAGGTGAGGAACTGTAGACAATATTATTTGTACTTCAGGAGTACCTCCTGTCTGGCAGGCCAGTCTGCGTTACTTACAGCCAGGTTGTGCTATGTTTGTTTACAGGCAAAGAGAGCTTTCCTGGCAACTCCCACTACATTGGAAAATGTGAAGTAAAAAGCCCTGAACCCAAAGCTCAGCATGACCTCTGAGGTAATCTGGGCATGACCCTTCCAATGCATGTTGGCAGCACTTCTACTGAGATGAATGGGAGCCAACTGCTCCAGGCTGCTGCTTAGTACTAGAACATATTTCAATATGTTGATTTAATCTATGTACCTGTCCAAAGCTGTTGCAATCCTGGGGGTACAAAGATACAATTCCTAATTGGAAATACATAAAGGGAGGTGAAAGAAAGAACAGGGTCTGGTAATGTTGGTGTGCTATGATGACAGAGAAAGAGGTAATTGCCTTTGGCTGCTGCAGGGAAAAGTTAAGGTCAAATACTGGAATTTCCTTACACAAATCTGAGACTCTCTTGAGGTAAATGAAATGCATAATTTACCATAACAGGAGAGAAAGACTAAGTGTGGAGGCTGGTCAGTATTTAAGGAGATATTGATAGTGTCTTTCATCTTGCAGAAAGATGAACTAGGCTCAGCTTTGTCCGGGTGCCTAAGTGCACAGCTTCCTCCAAAGACAAAGATTTAGGAGCAGTGACCATGCAGACACTGGACTTTTATGTTCTCGTTTTTTTTTCTAAGAAACATTTAATAAATATCCAGGATAGTTGGAATGCTGAGCCAGGACAGTGGCAAGAGTCAAAAATATTCTGGGCTGAACTTTCATTTGCATTAAAGCCAGAATAAATTAATGCAGATAAACACATGACTTGCAGTCTCAAAATACTGCAGCTAAGACCAGTCTTGGCCACTGAAACAGCACTGATCTTACTTGCATGTTCTTAGTTATAAAAAGCCCCATTAAGGCCACCTTATGTCCCTGGAATAGAAGCATTATGTCAAGCAAAATTTCTGAGACAGTGCTACTTTTCAACAGGGAAGACAAATGGATTGAATTACTGAAATTATCATTACTGTTGCTCTCACTTCTTCACTGTTAATTGCAGGAGAAAGCCTTCTCACCTGTCTGTTCAAACTGATGTAAAACATGCCCACCTGTTTTAGCAAATCCTCCTTTTTCTGATTTCTGATCAGCTTATTCAAATAACAAATGCTTGATTCTGATCAGTGCAGACAGATGCAGTAATGAACTAAAAGTCAAACGGGTTTCCCAAAAGACATACAATATGGTTGAAAAAATCTAGGACTTACGAGTATTGGCTGGTCTCATTGTGTCCAACATCTGGGGAATGCAGCTTTTGGACTAGGATACGGATGATGCAAATGAAGAGAATGAAGTTCACCTGTTGGGGTGGGAGAAAGGAAACAGAGAAATAAAAAGTTACTATTTTGCTTGGGTGAAAACAGCCCATCCTTAGAGGGGACTTCCTTTCACAGCAATATTTTTGCCATGGAGCAAGCTGCTGTTAAAAAGCCATGAGCAGAGAAACCCAATCTGGGAGCACAAAGTAAACCGACACAGGATGCAGCCATCTTGGGCCTGACATCAGTCTGCTTGGGACTTTGTGTGATACATCCCAAGTATGATGATGTCAAACCCATAGAGCACAGCTATGCACGACGTCCTGCTGCGTGGGGGAGTGCCGACGACAGGGTAGAGAAAGAGCCTTAGGAGTTAGTGGAGCGACGGATATCAAAGCCCTCAGGAGACGGTGACATGGGACCAGATGCTGAGCATGTCAAAGACTGAGGTGATGAGCCAAGGAAACCAAAACAAAACACAAAGCAGTACCCATTCAATGCTATCGGGCATGTCTACTCTGGAAAGAAGCTGGAGACCTATAGCAGGAACAGACCTCACTGACCTAGAGGGAAACATTATCTCCTAGGATGTTAGACCAGGAGTCTAGCTACTACCTAAATTTTAAATGATGCTGTATCCTCTCAGAGTGCTCCACCAACATACTGAAGCAATGTAAAACTTATTTAATAGCAAAGGTTACAGCTAGGAATTGCAATTCCTTAATGGCATGTAGTAGATGGCATGAACTGAATGCAGATCTACTTGCTTTTAAGGTCCTATCCATGGAATCATGCTGTTATTTATGCAATGTATACAACAGAAACATGATAAGAAACCTCTGTGGACTTAGTTTAGCTTTAGTTTGGCAGGCAACCTTTTTCTTTATCTTTTTATGGTTAGAAAATGCACAAATGATTCTGATTTTGAGAGACCCAATGGCTGGAAGGGATTGTGTTAACCAGACAATCCGATTTCCTGCAAAAACAGACTGTAAAATTTCCTCCAGCAATTCCTACATTTGTCTCAACAACAGGTGGATAAAGCAGACAGCAGCACATGTCTCAATTAGACACTCCTTTTTTCAAAGGCTTTGAGTGATTCAAAATTAATTGTATTTCTTGGTTCTGGTGCATTGCATCACTTTTTATCTATCCCATGTCATTTATCATAATTTCTGTTCATATTTATTTGCTTGTAAAAATGGCTTGTATTGACTTGGTGGCAAGTAAAATCTATCAGCTCAAGACAGCATTATCTAGATTAATTACTCTAATAAGCTTTGATAGCACACAAGCTGCAGCAAGGAAGGTAAGATCAGAGAGATTGCTCATAGTGGTCAAGAGCAAACATTGGGACAGAACAGTGGTGAATCAGGTGGAGTGTGATTTATAGGCTTAGTACAGCCTTAGCATTGCATGGTATGGCCATCAGGCTGCTGGAGAAGTTGTTTATTTTTCAACCTAGAGTATAATCAAAGGCACTTGATCTGTTCCCAGTGATTAATCTCATATATATCTATCTTACATATCTTATATATTTTATGTATCTGTACTTCTTCCTTCCAATGATATCTATGCTTTATTCCCATGGATATGGAGAAAATGTTGCATTCCTCCCTGAAGAAACCTGCTTTTCATCAGATTGCAGTTATCACTCCCTTCTTTTGTGGCAGGTTTATATGATAAGTGCAGAAGGATAGTCAGAAATTTCTGGGTAAATTTTGTTTGGCAACAAGGAAATGATTTATTGACCATATGCTGGCGAGAACAGCATGCATTTCTTGACCAAAAAGATTATCTTGCTAAAGGAAAAATGCTATCTATAGCTTTTTATGATAATATAAATATTTTGAGATGTGTCATCTAAATATTGTATTTATTTTCAGTGAGGTGAACAGAGTAAGATGGAATTACTCAAAATGTTTCAGTTTGGGATCCCTGTATGGCAAATACTACAGAAAAAAGTCTTCTTCTAAAGGTCATAATGTACTTGGAATAAGAAAAATTTATGTCTAAGAAAAGATTTCTGTTTAAAAGAGGCATATTTGGTTTGATTTTTGTTGCATTCTTTTTCTTCCCTTCCCACATACTTGAATTTATTTAAGAAAACTCAAAGCTAAGTTTAATTTAAGTTCATTTTAAGTTTTGGCTTGATACCTGACAGAGGAAACATGTAGTATTCAATGAGGATGGAACAACTCTAAGTTACTCAGAAGTGTCATGGTTTCTGTGGGCAGAATTGGTCATAGCCAGAGAATTAAAAAGTCAAGTGCTTCTGTGATTTATCTGGACATTAGCCAAGCTTCTAAAGGACTTACTTCAAAACCACAAGTACATGCTGGATGCTATAGTAAGAGGCAAATATCTGCGGAAAGCACCTAAATTCTTTTTACCTAGGTAGAAATTTGTGGTAGGACTCATCCCAGTTTTACTTTATAGTGTTGACATCTATAATTGAACAACTGGGCTCTGCATATGGTCAGTTCAGAAAATAAAAACATTAATGGCACGATTCATCTGATGTAATTTAGACATCCACTGATTCATCAGACAAGATGAGCATTTCCTGGATCTCTAACCATGTTCCTCAGCCTCCTTGTGCTACACACACCCATGGCCACTGCCCCAGGCAACTAGCTGAGATGGAAGTGGTCAGTTAAATGAAATGAGCTCCACCTTGGTTGCCTAGTCACTCAGACTCTTCCTATGGTTAAAGTTGTTTATCAGGAGGGTGAACTTCCTCAGCCTAAACCAGGCATGCAATATACAGTGGGATTTTATCTGCCAGTGCATTTCTGTTGGACATTTACAGAACACTTCTCAACACCTCTTCACCCCCCCCACTTAGTATTAAAGATGGCTTTGCAGCCAGCAGAATGTGTTGATACTTTACCAAAATAGACACCAAAATAGGAGTTTTAATGATCCACCAGAATGGGGATTCCACTATTTCCTCCCAGCACCTGAAAAGAAACAAAACCAGACTTAAAACATCAAGGAAAGCAAACAAGCAGCTATGTAACCTTCTCTGGTACTTGGTTCCCTAAATACTGAAGATAGCTATGATAGATTATGTGAAGAGGAGTAAATCTGGTGTGCATGAACTGGGAAGGGCTAAAGACTTGCTTTGCAGCGGCTCTGAGTACTGGGAGTTAGGAGGTGCCCCAGACGTAATGCTGTGGGCTCCTTTCCCCTTGGTAATGGAATGGGCTGGAGAATGTTATGTCAGTATGAATGTGGGGGAGGATGGTGATTCACTTAATTTCTCCTACACTGAGGTCTGATACAAGGAAATGCCATCAAAATCACAGATTCATGAGGCCTCTGATGCTATCAACTACCATGGACAGGGGTTTTGTTAAGCACAGAGCAATTGGCACCATCAGAAACAAAACCAACCATGCCCTTCTGAAAAAGATGATAGGCACCCTGTGGCAGGTTTAGTCCAACTAAATCTGTATAGCTGCATGAGTTAGGGATATAGTCAGAAAAGTCCAGAGTCCAGGGTATGATTTATTTCATCCTGAAGCGAGAATTGTCTGCAAACCACACCACTCACCTAGGTCATTTGGAAGTATATTTTAAAGCTAACAGGGAAAGGACAGAATAGGAATGATGTGGAAACAACTAGCATTGCCTGGGACACATTTATCTTCAGACCTTACAGGAGTCAGGTGGCAGAAGGAGCATTTTTAGGAGGTCACTGATGAAAATTGGTCTGCGTTCATGTTAGAAACAGATTAGTGGACTCTACTGCAAACAATTTCACCTGCATTCAGCTCATCTAATTCAAAATGTTGAAAGCACAGGTAATAGATAAGGAGAGGTACTTTTAGGGCACAGTTCTTGAGACCTATTTTTCGCATCAATTTTGTGATAAGAATAGTGCTTCATGGACTGCACTGACTAAATCCCTAGTAGCTATAAAAGGAGACTAAAATGAACTGCTCACACACAGATGTTTATATTTTATCAGGTGCATGTTGCCCATTCATTTAGAATTAAAGTGGCCCTAATTATCTCTAGTGCACTTCATCTTAAAAATAAGATGAATGAAGGTCACTTAAGTTAGAAAGTTTAAACAGAGGCTTAATGTTGTTTAACCCATTTTACATAATTAGATTTTATTTAATCTGGATTCATTTCCTGTAATTTCTCTCTCTAGGCAATTTTAGTATGGAAAAAAAAAATCTATGTGGTATTAGCATACCCTGTAAATTCACACTTTGTTCAACTTGGCACAAAAATGTAGAGCTTTAAAGCCTCCAGAAAATGCAAAGAAGTCTGCATTTTTATTAAGAATTGCTGGAGCTGAGTGGGAATATATGGTAAGAAGGATTGGTATCCAGACTGGTGGAATCCTTTGGCCTCTATCTCATTGTAGAGGCTATTTATTAGCAGAGTAAATAAGGTCAGTTTTATGCAGACAGAGTGAAACCATAAAAGAAGTCAGTAGCCCTCAGGAAATGTGTTAGCATGACTATAAATCAAAAATGCAATGAGAAGTCTGAGCTGCTTTTCTTACTGAGATAAGGACAAATCAGGACACATCTGGAGAGAGAGAATGCAAAGGAGAAATGGAGTTAACCATATGTTGCAAATGCAAGAAACAAGGGCATGCACAGTGAGTACATAATAAGAATCAGATTCTGTAACTCTGGAGCGTTTCCTCACATAAGCCTTACAATTACTACACTTTGACTACTTAAGTAAAGGAGGATTGCAGGATCGGGTCCTATATACTTGCATATATCCTTGAACAGCTCTGATATCTGGCTCATTTACTTAGCTGTATTATATCTGCTCCTTAAAATACTAAAAGATGCTACTAGGTTAAAGAGGATGAAGAACAGATCCTAAGATCTGCCTCGGAAAACAAACAAACAAACAAGTAGTTTTTAGACATCTTCTGTGGGAAGAACTAATGGGAATGTTTATTAAGTATCTGCTGCCTGGGCATATGCAGGGTCAGTTCTGTAGGATGCAAAACTCTGCTCTGAGCACGGGACAGCTGCTCAGCTGGTATCTTTATTATACACAGGATCACAGGGCCAAATGTTACCATCAGGGCTTGTTCACAAATTCCCTGCAAATATCCTGACCAAGGGATTGGGAAACAGAGGCTGAGCAAGTTGACATAAAACATGTGTCTTCAGGAAGACCTTGGAGTGTTTCCCAGGTCTGATTGCCACTGGGGTTAGGGAAGGATGGCTGGGTTACTAAAACTGCAGGGCACTCCTTGGCCTTCCTTAGAGATAAAGGAAGGAAAAATTATAAAGGAAAGTTAATTGAGTCCACAGGCTTACCCAACATCGAAAAAGTAAATCCTGACAATTGTCCAAGCAGTGATGAACACAGAGGGGGCACCTGACAAGAGAAGAGATGGTCAGAAATCATTATCCAAGTTTCCAGGGCTGTTCTCTCCCAACTCTCCAACTCTCCTAACTGACTGAGGTGATGCCTTCCCTGAAGAGTCAGCAAAGGCTTCACATTCTCAGTTCTCACATACCAAACAAGCAACATTTGCCTTTCTTTCCTTTATTCATCTTCCTGTTGCAGTGCCTACAAAAAAACCCAACCTTCTGATGGTGAAATGCAAGGAATAGGAACCAGCTGAGACATCTACAGTTTGGACACCTGTACCTAAGCCAGTCACCACAGGCTCTCTTTAGCATCAATGTGAAGAAATATGTACTCCCAACACACAGAGCACCTGAGATACTTTAGATGTTTGTTTTAGGACAGGAAATATGCTCTTGACTGTATTGCCTGGTCTTCACAGACGATAAAGGGAGCTTGGGGTGACAGATTCACATGTAGATGTCTGTAGTTGGCCAGATGATCCCGCCTCTGCTCCTCACTTCCACCTGACTGGTGTTGCCTTTTCCACCCTTGTGATACCACTTTGTCTCTTGTCTTTGATTAGATTTAAACTGCAAATACTCCAGGAAGGACATGTTCTGTGCTAGTCACAGCATTGCATATTGTTTTTTATCAGTGATTTCTGAGTGCAATGGTAATAACAGTAAGAACTGTAATGACTGCATCAAAATTATTAATTCCTGCACAGTCCATTTTGAATCCATCACCAATGCCCTTGCAAATGATTGATGACTGAAAGGCCAGAAGATCCTTCAAGCATCTATTATTCCCTTGAATTGTCCTTCCTCATCCAAGCAACCTCAGAATACATTACAAGTGCAAGATATTCCCTCTGATTTAAAATCATTAGCTTCATACATTTTTCTTTAAAATCTTCCAGCTCTGACGTACTGGAAGAATGGGTATCTATGCACAAAACAGGTTTAAAGAAGGTCTGACCTGATTAACGGCATCTGAAACAAAGCCTGCTAACATCATCTCGTCTTATGCTTACAGCACAGAGAACTGTGTCTCTTCTGCAGTGTGAACCCAAGCATAACTCCTGTCACTTTCAATGGAACTTACTCTATGGCTAACTGAGCAAATCCCGAGTCCAGGCATAGCCCTATACATGACACAATTTTATTTTTTCTTTTCTTTTCAAGATTCTTCCCTGCTCTAATTACTTCTCAGTTTTAGCTATTGAGAGCACGTAATAGAAAGACATTTCACTTGCATAAATCTTCAGCTAATGGCTTAAAGGGGAAAAGAGGTCTCTGTTTCTTCTTTGGAGAAAGAAAAGAAGTTGATTGGGTAGGATTAATTTGCCTAAGTTTGCAATCCAGCTCTGACTTACTTTGTGAAGAGTTTAATTATGTCTTTATTTTATTATTTTATTATTTTATTTTATTATTTTATTTTGATGTGTTTGAGTGTAAACTCATATTAAAGCTGGAGAAATCAGTAAGCAGAAGGTTACCAGCATTAGCACACAGGTGATGGGATCTCAGGGTAGCTAGCTGGCCTGAATTCAGTAAAAGTGAGAGTTATGGACTTCAGTGTCTGGTTCATTCCAGGAGTCCTGCTTTGCTGGGATCCATCTTTACAATTTAATATCAATGCATGATACCAAGTTTGGGATCCTAGTCAGGATTAAAGGGTTAAATGACTATAAAGATGAGGAGGACTTTCAGTTCTTAAAGACACTGAGGTGCTCAGCTACTAATTTTCCTAGCACAAATTAAGTTCTTAAATGCCTTTGAAGATCTAGGTTAATGGAATTAGGCTAAACTCTCCTGGCCATCACTTGATCTTGCTCCTGGTTGCACTAACAATCCTTGGCAGCAAGGTTAAAAGTCTGTGTATCAAACTGCTGTTAAAAATGCCTGTCAGGATCATCCCTTCACACAGTTTTGAGGAGATGCGTACCCCAGCCAATCAAGATGTACCACCAAAAGTACTTCCTCTCTGAAAAGAAGGAGATGACCAACAGGGTGTGAAGATACAGCCCCTCCACCAGAAGCCAGAAGAAGTTGGCCATGACGCAGTACTGGAAGAAAACCATCATGGCTTTGCAGCCTACCTGGAAGAGAAGAAACGAACAGTGGTGAATTGTTTCCATAGTAAACACAAAGAATTACCAGTAAACCTTGCTGTGTGCATATCTTTGGGATTGCTTTGTGCAGCACCTGAAGCCCTTAAGGAAAAAAAAATAAAGCCAAGAGTCCTAAAGCTTGCTTGGGGTGGACATGCTTGATACACATTAAGCCCTGCATCCTTGATAGACCCAGCTCATGTCTGGATGCTGCTTGACTTTGTGAGGCTTCAGATACCCTCAAGCTTGGAAACCCTGTTAAGAGTCACAGACTGATATGCTGGACCCTGATCCCTACCAGCATGGTTGCTGCTCTCTGTAGGTTTTGGATGTATATCTGTTGGAAGTTGACTTAGTGGCAGAGTGGATGCCAGAAGGTCCTGCCCTGAAGTGTAGCCACTAGCCTCTCTGCTCTGCCAGACAGGGGTCCATAGGGCTGAGCTGTGAAGCAAACCATTGCACTAGTACAGAAGAACCTTCCAAAAAAGGCACTACTTTGAACTGAGAACAACCCATTGACTGATTTATGGTGTAGCCAACAAACACTTAGGTCAGCATGACTGAGTGATCTGTACTGAAGAATAAACAAGAATGTGTGGGAATTTCTTATGGTATTTTTGGCACTAAAGTCAGCGTCTTGAGATATGATGCTCTGAGTGACTTGGACATTATAGTTCCCTCCATCATTCTCAGTGGTGCTGCTTGCTGGCATTACCTGGCTCCTTAAACCAAAAGAAATGAAGCCTCTGACTTGAACAAACTGATTTCCCAGCATAAAAGAGCAGCAGCAACAACAAAAATCTATGTTAATTAGCCCTTGAAAATGAAGTCCAATTGTAATCAATCCACGGTAGATACAACAAAAAAAATGAAGGAGTCTGAGACATGAGTTTGAAGAAAGCCGAGTCTACAAAGAATCGTGGATACTCACTTGGGAAAAGAAGGACTGGAATACATATTTTAAAAATAAAGAAAAGGATAAGAAGAAGAAGCAGGGGAAATACTAATGAGCACGGACAGATTTGATTGCATTGGAAAGGGTGATATTTGAAAGGGAAGGAGGATTGTTTTTCTTCAGGAAATGAATAATTAAACACAGTAGCTTGCTGTGTGAATATTTCACTGCAGCACAGGTAATGGGAACAGCCATCTTATAAAAGAAAACAAAAAAAAAAAGGAAATTTCTTTCTGACACTTGAGAGGCCAAACTCACTGCAAAAACCCCAAAGGTAGAAATCAGCTGCTCAACAAAGTATGTCAGCCCTGGCCATTGTCCCCGCATGTGATGTATCCAGGTTCAGCTGTAGTCTTACAGGTGATCCTTGGCTGCATTGTTACACACATCCACACTGTCTAAGCATCCTTGCGATGTTGATTCAGTGATAGTGTCATTGCATTCTGTGAGCCTGCTTGGGTAATACCCCGTATTTACTAGGGCAGGGCTACAAACACCTGCCTGCTAGCACTTTCTGGTTAGTGGCTCTTCCCTGGTATTCTGCATATGTAACATGTTGAATTTAGAGTAATAATTGATTTGCAACAGCAACAAGCTCATATTTGCCCCCCCCCTCCCCCCCACTGCAAACAGTTGCCATGAAACACACTGATTAAAGAGAAGCTTGGAAAGTGTTTTCTCAATGCCATGTGTTTTGTAGAGGGACTTGTCCCCACCGATCACTCAAAATTCATTCAACCCTCCCTTACCACCCATCAGTATATCACACTGGGTACCCTCATGGGCTCCTCCACAGCAATTTGTATGTGAGGCAGACAGCATAAGCGGAGAGATGCTGCAGGGTGGTGATGGGGGAAGGTGGAGGCAGAGAAGGAAGTTAACTCCCAGAGAGGGAAGCTGACAAGGGCTGGAGATGTAGCAGCATCTTCCCTACAGCATCCCTATTCTCTTCATTTCTCCCTGTCACTCTGTGTGTATGGATATGGGGCATTGTCACACTCCATTTCTTTTGCCCAAAACCTGACTGCCTGCTTGGTGTGTCTACAGCCAGTGGGAATATGTGGGTGTCAGCCCTGCTGGGGTTACTGAATTCTTTCATGGTTTCACTTTATCAGTATTTGGCCCAAATTCAGCAGCTCACAGATGAGACCTGAGGTTTAAGGAAGCAGTTTTGATGCATCTCGACCACACAGTCTTCAAACATGGATTTGCTTTGAGGATTAAACATTGGGCAACCCTTTCTGGATGGTTGTCTTAAAGCTATGGCAGAGGCATGAGGCTGGAGCACATCACAAGGAGCTGCAAGTCCTCATGGGACCAGGAAAGGCTACTCACAAGAAGTGCACTCAATTTCTGCCTAATAGAGACTCTCAGACAGGGATGCTGAGTTTGTAGAGCTATTGCTGTCAGAGAGGAAGTCATGATGAACTCAGTCTGTGGCAGTAGAAGCCACAGAATCTTGGGGGTCCAAATCCATTACCTCTTCTCCCAGTACCCAGTATTAGCAACTGTTGCTTCTGTGTTAGTACCTGGCTCTGCCTCCTTCCCTAACCTGGTGGTAGCTTGTGACAGACCTGAGGTAGATCATGCACATTGGCAGCAGCTGAGTTTTGGCAACTCCTCTGAGGGATCTGTAGCATTGATTCGACATCATCTACAATTGATGCAGATCAATTCTTTGCTCCATGCTGAGGATTTTTTTGCTATTTGATCAATTGCTACCACTCCAGGCATTTTTTTGTTTTACCTGGAAAGAAGATATTTTTATACATCATTTTAAGCATGCAACACTAGCCTATTCCAGCCAGGGATCCCCTGCAGCATGAGGATCTCCTGCACTGGAACAGATTTGGATGCACTGTCCCATCTTCCAAATTAAATCATGGTATTTTCTTGCTGTCTGGGCTTCTTGCTACTATTGCCAAAGATATGTAAGTTTAAACTAGACCAGATATTTCTACAAGAAGTGCAGTTTAGCTGCAGTTTAGTTGACTGCAGTGTTCTTCCATTCTATGTTGTTTAACAGACAACTCAGTGACACATTTGGAAAACAGTTCTTCCTGGCTTTTGAGAGACCTTATTACATGCAACACTTGGTAATGGATCTCTACCTTACTGATCAATTGGATTCAGCTTCAGAATGGCTGTTATAATGCTGGGAAATAAAATCCACATTTAAGTAAGATGCTTTGCCCTTTAGATGACAGACATTACACTGAGATGAGCTATTACATCTCATAGAAGATTTTTTTTCATAGCAAGCAGACCCATTGATGTGTCAGTGTTGAAAAACTAATATAGGCTATGTTTAGAAAAGGTATTTTCAGCAGGAAAAGCAGCATTACAGCACTGCTTTTTCTATTCTTGCCCTTTCACTATCTTATTTACAACAGCTTATTTCCCTGTGTTTCCTCTGGGATCTTGCCCTGCTGATGTCCACATAAGCTGTTGCTACGGAAGGACAGGGATTTCCTGTGCAGACCTTTGGGATATTCACAGGCATTTTAAGGGCTATGAGAATTCCATGCTTAGATGGCAGAAGTCTGCCCTGTAGGAAGAATCCTTGCTGAAGTAGCAAGACAGGGAAAAAATGTACATATTGCATTGTACTGTTGTCCTAAAAGGCTGTTTCCTCAAATATAGACAAATCTTTGAAATAATTTCTATAATTTTCACACCTGTACCTGAAAAACACTGTCCTGCTGGTCAGGGTGTGTTTAACATTCCCTGAACATGGGTGTGAATGCCTACCTTCTGGATAGGACCCAAGACTATAATGACTTAATTTCAAATGGAGGTGCATTACTCAGGCCCTCAGACAGAGCTGCCCTGAGTATACAACTATTTATTGCCTAACAAGGCAATAGAGAAGGCAGAAGATACCACACTTGCATTGAAAGAGAAAGCGACTTCTTGTGGTCATTTTAGGGCAAATATTTAATGAGCTGTTGATACTTAGGAATGTCCACTGTGCTTTCAAGAAGAAGATGGATGAGTGGGGACAAAGCACGTGGTTGGTTAGAAAGCTGTTGGGATGTTGAAATGTACTTGGTTGAAAACCGGGCCAAAAATGTTTGGGTGTCAATAGTGGGTCAAGTTGAGAGCTTCATGGAATGATGGGGAAAGCAACCAAGATACTCATAGCCAGCATGCAGCACAACATACATGTGCTATAGCTACTGTGAAAAATACAGCCCAGGTAGGAGGTGAAAGATCATAGGAACACTGCACTCAAGATTCTACCAGACTTTCTGAGAAAGAGGCAAGAAAAAGGGACATAAGGTTGGGAATAACAAGACCAAGCAATAACCTTACAAGCCTTCTTCCCTGTGCTTAGTAGCACTTTGTATGCTAGCCATGAGAAAAACTTCTTTCTCCTAAAATTGTTGTGGTGAATACCTGATCAACCTAGAAAATGCAGTTCAGATGCTGGAGGAAGTAATTAACTCAGAGCTGAATCTGATAATACATTAAATACATATATGTCATACTTCTTAGCGATAATAACTCTGTTTGAGGTATCCCTGCTCATTAATAACTGCTATCGATTGTCAGTCTTGACCAGCTGCTGAATTTTTCTAGCTCAATATAAGCAGCATAGCTGGACAGGAGTCAGTCTGAGGTTTTGAGGTTGGTCTAAGGTTGTGACACACAGAGTCAACACATGTGCATGCATCAGCCTCCTGTGAACGCAATAAAACTCTACCATAAAAGGTCAATCAACTGCACAGACACACTGCAGTCATCACAGAGCACCACTGCACTAACACAAGCCTCCCTTGTCTTCCTTATTGGGCATATGGTGTGTTACAGGTTTAGGACTTGGGTCAAAGAACGATTTATATAAGAAGTATAAAAGGGCACTTGAGTGATTGGGTATTCTCCCACCTGCCATAGCTGGCTTGTGAATACACTGTGATATAAATGGTCTGATTGAGTTTCTTTGACCCAGTCACAGGAATCCCCATCATGAGACTTGACCTGTCCCTTTCCAAATATGACCTATCCTGTACATGCATGCCAGTGCTGTGCA